AACCGATCAGTCGCCCGGAGGTGATGTCACCACAACGGCACGTTGTGTGTGACGTCACCTGTCGCCGCGCGCTGACGTCATAGTTCTCTGATAGCGAGTATCATTGGCGGCAGGCGGACCGATGTCCGGCTAGCAGCAGTCGCTACTTGGGGAGCATTCATTCTGGCCAGGGTTCATAATGTCCAGGGTACGCTATGCCCAGTGTCAAAATGGCCAGTGCCTTGAATGGGCCAGAGTTCATAATGTCCAGGGATTGCATGGTCCAAATGTGGCCAACTGGCTGCAGATAGGGTATATTCAAAGAGGCCAGGGTTCATAATGTCCAGGGCACGATGTGTCCAGTGTTCAAAATGGCCAGGGTTCATAATGTCCAGGGCACGATGTGTCCAGTATTCGAAATGGCCAGGGTTCATAATGTCCAGGGCACGATGTGTCCAGTGTTCAAAATGGCCAGTGCCTTGAATGGGCCAGAGTTCATAATGTCCAGGGATTACATAGTCACTGAAAGTGACGTCATTATGTAAAAAACACGGAATCGGCTCAATGCAAAGCAGTGCAGTGCCGAAGGCAATGCCTTAGGAGAGATTACAGGCAATAGTAAATCAAATATTTTTAGGTTAAGTGGTTATGTATCTGGCTTCAGGCCGAAGGCCTGAAGCCTGATGCATAACCACTTAACCCTCGCCCCGTTGGGGGGGGGGGCCATTTTGGCCCCCCCTGTGGTTTTTCCTGAATAGCAAGAAAACGGCGGCGCGCAGCGCCGCCAAATTTTCAGTACCTTTCCGGGCATCAATTTGACACCTTCACACCAAATTTCAAGTCTTAGGTCACCTTAGGTCAGGAGTTATTGAGGTCAAACTGAGGTCATGTTCGAGCAAAAATGAGCAAAAAACATGCAATCTTGAAACGCTCACCAAATCTACAGTTATCAAGCAATTTCAAAGTTCTTTATATGGTCTAATAGACAAAAAGCGGCGCTACAAAACTGCTATCTCGGATTTTCAAAATTTTGGGTTTTTGACCCAAAAAATTTCAAAAAATTGATTTTTTTAGAAAAACTAAAAAAAATCCAAAATTTTTCCGAATTTCGAAAAAACCGGAATATATGTGATACTCCCTGCGCTCTTCTATATACATACCAAATTTCAGATCGATATCTCGTTTTTTGGCCAAGTTATAGCGAAAAAACTGTTCAAAAATGATGACGTCAAATTTTTGAACTCAATTTTTAGCGATTCTAGACCTCGTACGGCAAAACAAAGACCACCATTGAACTCCCCGTGACGAGCTGCATCGATTCGATACCCATTTTATGCAAAAATATCAACTTTGAAATTTGACCTTATTTGACCTGACCTTGACCTGACCTTGACCTGACCTTGACCAAAACGTGACCTAAGCTGGCCCCAAAGGCTGCCTGACCCACATAATCGCATTTGTCATGTAAAATGGACCATAAAACATGTATCACACGACACTTTCATATTGTGACCCCCCAGTGACCTGACCTCAGTGACCTGACCTGGTATCAGTGACCTCAACTAGCAAAATATGTGTTTGAAGAACATTTCCCCATCGATGATTTTCAATGAAATGCATTTTACTCGATTTTACAACGCATTTCTTGAAATGCCTGTAAACGGTGAAAATTGGACCTTTGACCTGACCTGTGACGTCATCGGTTTGACCTAGGTCAATAAAATTGGGTCACAAGGTAGTTCCCTGATAGGGCTATCCAACACCGTTTGCCGCTTGTCGCTACGTTGCGTGGTTCTCGAGATCTTAGGGGGGGGGGGGCCAAAATGCCCCCCCCCCCCCAACGGGGCGCGTTGCTCGGCAGAGCCCAACGGGGCGCGGGTTAACCTAAAAATATTTGATTTACTATGGCCTGAAGCCTGATGCATAACCACTTAACCTAAAAATATTTGATTTACTATTGCTTGCAATCTATTCATGCGAGAAACTATTTCCTTATCCCTGGTAGGCAAACATCATTACCTTAGGTTAGGTTAGGTTAGGTTAGGTTAGGTTAGGTTAGGTTAGGTTAGGTTAGGTTAGGTTAGGTTAGGTTAGGTTAGGTTAGGTTAGGTTAGGTTAGGTTAGGTTAGGTTAGGTTAGGTTAGGTTAGGTTAGGTTAGTTTGGGTTGGGTTGACTATGTAATCCCTGGACACTATGAACTCTGGCCCATTCAAGGCACTGGCCATTTTGAACACTGGACACATCGTGCCCTGGACATTATGAACCCTGGCCATTTCGAACACTGGACACATCGTGCCCTGGACATTATGAACCCTGGCCATTTTGAACACTGGACACATCGTGCCCTGGACATTATGAACCCTGGCCTCTTTGAATTTACCCTATCTGCAGCCAGTTGGCCACTTTTGGACCATGTAATCCCTGGACAATGTGAACACTGGCCAATTCAAGGCACTGGCCAATTCGAGCACTGGACACATTGTGCCCTGGACATTATGAACCCTGGCCTAAATAATACGCACCCCGCTACTTCACTCAATGTAGATACCCTGAGTCACTTCAGCGCACGATTGATGCTGTTCCGTCGCAGCTTGACAAGCAGGTGTGTGGATGTCTGCAGAGTCCGTTTGGTGACAGGATAACTAAGCGAGCGGGTCGGTCTGATGTTGGCTGTTTTCGTACCACCTGGCGCAACATAGGGGTTCCCGAAACGTTAAATGCAATTAATAAAGTGTGGATTTCGCATTAATCGGTCGGGATAATTGGTGAATAAGAACAAAACGATGGGTGATTTTGACGCATCCGCTATTATGTAATGATGGCGTAGGTTCTAGCTTCTTGAGGTTAGAAGTTTCGATTACTAAGTCATCAAAATGACGGTGGGGTATTCCAAGGTTTTGAGGTCCTCAGCCAACTTTCCCATCTGATTATCAAGTGTGAAGGGACAAGCAGATATGTTTGCATTGCCACACGTGAAGGGAAAACCAAACCTTCACTAAAAAGTCTTTGGAAAACCTAACCCAACCTTACCAAATGATTCACAAACTAAAGCAGCTGTCTCACTACTTAGCTACTAACTGGTGGCTTTCCTAGCATACAGCCCATAAACCAATTGCAGGGGAACCGTTACGCTGGTGATAGCACCTGTCGTGTTGTCTGTAGCAATTCAGAGCTCAAATTTCGGCACTTTGTCCTGCAACCTCAGTTCTGGGCTCAGACACTGGACCTTATCGGGCCATTACCATGATAGGGCGGACCGTTAACCCGGCAGGCGGTGGGCCTACCAGCCACCTTCCGCGCGGTGGGGGGGGGGGCACTTTTTTGCCCCCCCCCGTATCTCCGAAACTACTGGACGGATCCGGAAAATTCAAACGGCGTTCGATAGCCCTGTCAAATTTGTTGAGGGAAACCAAATTTCATTGACCTCGGGGTCACCGATGACGTCACAGGTCAGGTCAAAGATAAAATGTTTCACCGTTCACGGGGCTTCTAGGGAAAGCGCTATAACACCGAGTAAAACGCATTTTGTCGAAAATCAGCGATAAGGCGCCGGTTGTCTAGTACATATGTTGCTATTAGAGGTCACTGGTCATACCAGGTCAGGTCACAGGTCAGGTCACCAAAGGTCACCAAGGGTCACCACATGAGCCCAACTTTACTAAGGTTATGCGATGCATGTTTTATGGCCAGTTTTTCATTTCCAACTCAATGGTGTTGGTTATAAGACCATCAGGTACGGTTTAGGTCACTTTCTGGTGGAGGTCAGGTCAAGGTCAGGTCAAAAAAGGTCAAATTTCAAAGTTGATATTTATGCATAAAATGGGTATTGATTCGATGCAGCTCGACACGGGGAGTCTAATGGTGGTCTTTGTTTTGCGCTACGAGGTCTAGAATTGCTAAAAATTGAGTTTGAAAATTTGACGTCATCAATTTTTGAACAGTTTTTTTCGCTATAACTTGGCCAAAAAAAGAGGTATCGATCTCAAATTTGGTATGTAGATAGAAGGCGGTAGGGGCTATCATATATATTCCGGTTTTTTCGAAATTCAAAAAACTTTTTGGATTTTTTGGCTATTATATTCAAAAATCTATTTTTTTTGATTTTTTGGGGTCGAAATCCAAAAAATTCGAAAAACCGAAATAGCAGTTTTGTAGCCCTTTTAATTTTACATCTTTTATGTCTGAAACATTTTTCTGTATCTCTAAAGCTGTAGGCCTGACAGCTCTTCCCGCGAAACCTTTTTTTGGGTCGAAAATGGCAAAAATGACGTCATTCTGACGTCATTAGCGGCCAACCTATCATAGCCTTTTGAAAAATTTTTGGTCACCATGTGCGCTAGCTGCTCCCGGGAGGGTACTGAAAGTTTGGTGACGATCGGCGCAGCGGTTCTCGAGATATATCGAAAAAACTAAAGGGGGGGGCATTGCCCCCCCCCCACCGCCTGGAAGGTTAAATAATGAACTTCATGCACATTCCACGAAAACAATCGCGTCGAGTGTTCATGTTGCACTTGCAATGCGCCACGAAATGTCGCACTCCTTTGTCGTGTGTTTTGACTCTGATCTTTCAGCAACCGAGTTTGTTGTTGTTGTTGACTGTTGTTCCTTGACCTTCAGCAGTTCGTTAGTTGATAGGCCACGTCAGCAAAGTTAGCGTTGTTTCGAGTTGTGACTTTGCCACGTGACGTTTTCAGCCTTCATGACTTCCCGGCAGCGCATCTTGACGATTCCGTCGCTGACTGCTCCGTTTTTGACGTCGTACCGCAGCGGCTTTAGGCCCGTGAGGCTGTGCGGCTTGTTGCCGGGCAGGGATTTCCAGGATATTTTGCGGTGCGGTGTAACTCTGAGTGCTCGAACCGCTGTCGCCGGGACGTATGTTTTCTGTTTGCAGCTCTGGACATATGTTGCCGACTTAGTAGTAGTTCCAAGTGTTCCTGACTTCTCCCTTTGAGTGATAGTTGTAAGCGAGGTGTTGTATTGTGGAGGTTGTTTTGTGACGCCATCTTGTTCTGTTCGGCAGGCTGCGTTGAGGTCTGCTGTTGCTGATTCCTCGTCGAAGTTCTGATGAAGATCGAGCGTTTTCCTTCGCTGGGAAATCAGTTCAACCATCGGTGATTCCATCAGTCGACATTTTTATACCCGTGCAACAGGTGGTTGGGTGGCATCGCTCCCCACTTCCCTAGACGGATAGCACTGCTGCCCCATTTCTCCAAGACCTCCAACAAATCGGCGTCCCTCCGCCCATCTCCAATGACAAACGGTCGTTCCCTCTCACCCTAATCCACATCTGCGCGCGCTGTCCTAACTCGGGCGGACAGATGTTCGCCCTGCCCCGGCCGTGTAGTGATTCCAGTGAGCCGGGACTCTGCGCCATGGCCAGCCGTTCCAGCGACCGAGTGGCCGGCGATAGGCGGTGCTTTTCCTCGCCGGTTTTCCTCTCGCCGATTCGCTACGTGATAGGGATGAGAAATGGGTCGCTGCTTTGTATCGCGAATTGTGAGTTCCACGTAGTTAGTGATATCAGGGGTTGGTAGAATTGGAGAATCGAATAGCCCATACGCCTTCTAGTGAGTATGATATTTTGTGATAATAACGTTGTAATTTACCTTATATGTATGCCACCTGCTTGGGTTGTACTGGAGTGCATATCAACCTCATTACATCATAGCCACACATATGTCCGGTGGCCATCGCAAAACCAGCTAAATCTGCGTGCTGAATTGTTTTGCAGAGCCGCGAACCGCGTTTCGTGCCGTTTTTCACTGTTAACCGTGGGCTCAATGGGAGCTTTATCCAGGCGAAACACGATTATTGTAAGCATGGCGACCAAGTGGACCCACTGTAACCGAAAATAAAAACGGCTGCAAGGGCTTACACGATAATCCGCGGCCGGTCGGCGGCGGAGGATCCCCCGAGTTGTCCAGAGGAGCTGCTTTGACGTGCCTTACAAGGCCCGCGCGGACATGTTTTCCTCCTGCCAGTGAAAAGTGTCGCCCAGTGCTTTCGTAGTCGGTGGCTGAAAATACACGGCCCGGGCGGAACCGGGGACACTGCGACACACAACTGCACGTGCTGTGAGAAACAAACCAGCTGAGACCCCGCGGCGGGTCGGTCTGGTCAAGTCAATAGCACCCAGCCAGCGGAACGCGAGCAAACCAAAATAGACAGGCTGGGCGGACCAGGGTATATTGAATTGAACGGACAGAAATAGAGCAGAAAGGTGACCAAGCCGCTGGCCCTTCCCGCTCTGAAATCGGCGCAGCGTTCAGACCTGGAGACAGCTCTGTACACTCAAAACTTTTTTACCACCTCCTGGAGGATTCATTTTTACCGAACCCGCAAGACAAGAGTATATTTAAAGGGTACCTCGCTGCTACCATTATGTGCATGGTAGCGGTACGTGGGTAAATTGAAGTTATTCGCCAGCAAAGAGTATTATTACCATGTAAATATCAATATTACTCTCGCAATCCTGAACAGGACGAAAACTCTTTCCTCCTAGGTATTGTGACTCGTGTGCAGGTGGTCGTTCCATGCGTGGATCTTGTTTACCCTCGTGAATATGATATTTGAAAGAGTATCAATCAGCCAATCAAAAACGAGATCGGCCGTTTGAAGGTTGAAGGCCGCGCGCATCTGTCAGTTTTCCGCCGTTAGTCTCCGAGAGAGGGTGTGCGCAGTGTCGGTGTGGCGCGAGGTGGCCGTTGGTGATTGTGCTTGTGTGCTGTTCATCGCCTATAGAGCCTCTGCGGACATTTTATTGTAAGTACCGATGTGATGGAGCATTACGTGCTGTTGAGTGGTGCTAGTTTGATCTGGCTTACAGATCCCGCGCACGGCCACGTGGCAGAGTGTTGTAAGTAGGTACATAAACTTTGTTGTGATGCATTTTGTTGGTGACTTAGAAAAAGATATATACTGTAGTGATGCAGTTTTATATAATACTGAACGAGGCCGGTGTAAATAAATTTTCAAGACCGAGGTCCTTACTGAATTTTTGAACGAGGCCGAAGGCCGAGTTCAAAAATCAGTAAGGACTGAGGTCTTGAAAATTTATCACCGGCCGAGTTTGGTATGTATTTTACTGTATGCCAACGATAAAATAATTGTCTAGACCGAAGCTCTTAGCCGTTTTTTGAACGAGGCCATCCCAAAATGTTGACTTGGTAATTCGTTTTTGACCGTGGTCACTTTGCTTACACCAGTTATTACCACACCCCTCAGGCTAATGTATTTGAATAGGCCAGGCATACAGTAATATTATCCCACGTAGACGGGCGACCACCCAGGAACGCTGCCGTTCACTTCAAATGTTGTGGGCTGTGCCTTATCCAATTTGAGGGACCTGAATTCTTATTCATATTCAAGCATTCATTTTGAGTATTCGTATTCAAGTTGTATCGTGATGTTTGTTTACCGCGTGTGCATCGCTGAACGCGTATGAATAAGTGGAGTCTCACAATGTTCATGGCTGCAGTGAACCCCTCGTATTGTTTGTACGGAATGCCAAATATGTATTGTTGCTCTTGAAGCATGTTTTTTAGTTGATGAGCTCCGGTTAACAGAAGCTTCGCGAAGCTTCTGAAGAGCGTCTGTGGGTCCGTTACCATCCTCTGGGGGGTTTACACTAAAGGAAAGCGTAAACATTACCATGTCACTAAGGGTAAGCCAGAAGAATATGCTCTCTGTAAGGTGGTAAATCACAGAGTAGATAGCATGCTACTCTTTAGAGGAGGGTCACGTTAAAAAGTTACCCTTCCACAGCGTGTAACTTCGAAAATGTTGCCCTCTAGACGAGAGTAAATCAAAAGAGTTTACCATACAGAAGATGGTAAAAAACGTCTCGTTACCACTCCCTGACGAGTTTACTCTCCACGAAAGAGTAAAATTTACCATCTGGAGGGTGGTAAAAAACGTCTGTGTGTCAAGCTATCCGTCGAGACCGTTGTGACGCATGCCGTACTTTTGACGTTTAAAGTTTTATAGTGTTTCGAGCTAGCCTGAGCTAGGCTGAGTTGTCTCACCTTTCAAGTGATCGGCTGTGATGTATCACATTAGTGTTGCAGTGTACTTGCGTTGTTGTTTCGACAATACAGAGCATACTTATGAAGACAGTGAATGTTGGTTGGTTGTATTATAGGACTGCGTAGAGAATAGGTAGTGTCTGGTATCCGTGTCATTGATGTGTAATGTTGCGCTCACCTTATATTTTTCATTGATAATTTAAAAAATTAGTGGGGATACAAATCCACTTTTCCGCCTAATTTTTAAAATTTTCATGTCAAATAAGGTGCCTCCACGAAGAACACGATACGAGTTTACTCTGTATGGTAGGGTAAACCATTACCCTTGCAATGACTCCTTGCAAGAGTGTAAAATTTACTCCGATGTGAAGGGTCAGTTGGTTTTTTTACTATTCTCGTCGGGGTAAACAACCAAGGAGTACAATTATTTTACCCTACTGACGATATTTTAGGGGACGTGTTATTCTCGGGACGAGAGTAAATTGAAGAAGTTACCACCTGGGAAGGAGTAAATACAAAGTTTTTACCCTCTCGAGAGTGGTAAAAAACGTCTGTGGACGTCTTACTCTTTCCTGGAGGGTAAACTCCCCAGGAATGAGTATATTTACTCCATGGTGGTGGGTAAAATCAAAGTGTTACCCTTCAGCCAAGAGTAAAACAACGGATTTACCACCTGGGAAGGAGTAAATACAAAGTCTTTACCCTCTGGAGAGTGGTAAAAAACGTCTGTGGACACCTTACTCTTTCCTGGGGGGTAAACTCCCCGGGAAGGAATATATTTACTCCGTGGTGGTGGGTAATACCAAAGTGTTACCCTTAAGTCAAGAGTAAAATACCGGATTTATCCTCTGGAAGAGAATAAATTAGAAGAGTTTACCCCGCGGTACGTGGTAAAAAACGTCTGCGTGCCTCGTACTCCCTCCCAGCGGATTTACTCCCCAGGGGAGAGTAAAAAAGTTTTCAGTGTAGACGTGAAAAATTCGCCGGATAATTCGCCATTTGGACAATGGTCGGCAAGTCTAACGCGCGCTAAATGGGGATGGATTGCTCCAGAGTGGTTCGGGGAAGGATGCGGTCATTTTTAATGGCACTGACTTCTGGAAGGAGATTAGGAACAGGTCTCGGGCATTAGGTGGGGTGTTTTAGGAAAAAGCACCTTCTATAGCGATGTCCTTGCGTTCGGTCGAAGCTCGCTGTGCTGGATTTGGGAAGTAATGGTCTTAACTGAGTCGAGCAAACGGCTCTATAACGAATACACAGTGGAAAGAGTCTTAGTTCCTATTAGGTATGAACGTGGTGGACTTGTTAAAGTGACCGATTTTTATCGCCAAAGTCTGGAACCGCACCGATAAAGTTCGCTGACATACGCCGAATCTGGCATGACAGTCTCGATAAACTGGTCTTAGGTCACAGGGCATTTGGGCCAGGGTAATTAAATTTTCAGAGTAGATGAAAGAGAGCACTGAATGTTGTGTCGCCGCTTTTTACGCGAGTCATTCGCGAAAAACTGAGGGAGGGGTCCATCGGCCCCTTATAAGTTGAATTTGATATGCTTACGTATCGCTATGATGCCTACTTAAATACGATTTTCAACAATTTTAGCTTGTAATATCTTTGAAGAAAACGGCGAGGGCATTATGGAACGCCCACTGAGACCCCACTGTTTGTGTCCCTAATTTTTCTTGACGAAAATAAACTGGAAAAGTAAGGGCCTACGGTTAGGCAGCCACCTGAACCGAACCATGTGTGAACTGGCCTTATCTCTTATACCACATCCGTAAACCACATCCTGGCAACGGGTCACCTCGGAGGGGGGACATCCGGGGGGGGGGGGAATATTTCCGGTCTGCACACCGGCCGCCGGACCGGATGGACCAACTTTCCGCGAGACGCGACTGCGGCCCGTTACCCGGCGCCGACCCCTGAGTCACCGGGCGGCGGTGACGTCATCGGTGACAGGGTGTGACGTCATCGAGGACAGGGTGGCGTCATCAAGGACGGTGTTGGTTCATTGGAGGACACTGAAATGCGTGGGTGAAAGCAAACTGGGGTGGGGCCTCTGCTGGTGTATTTCGCTTGAGAATGTCTTGCCGCTTCTCGGCGGGGATTCGAACTAGACCTCAGCTGTTGACATTGGAACATGTCAGATATTGACTCTAAGGCAGTGTTGATCCTCGTGGAAGTCCCTTGCCCCTTATCGCTGCCTGGTGTGGGCGGTGTGCCGCGAATGGTGGCATAGGTGTCCGGAAATGATTCCCTTTCTGGGCAATGATGTCAGACGCGAGTACTGTCAGCTTCTATAAATAGAACGTTACGTAAACGAATCAGCTAATTACCGACGGTAATTTCGCCGAGCGAATGACCATTGCAGTACGTTGAACGGATGTCCATTTGTAGAAAGTTTCCCGGAATAATAAAGACATTCTCCAAACATTTTAGTCGGTGTACAGCTGGTTTTGGTTTGGGTCACTTCGGACGACGGTCAGTTAAATTGAGATGACGGTTTCAGCTGCCGGTGGGTCTAATGAGAAGTGGGGGAACTAAGCGTCTCAATGTTTTATAACGACCCCTCCGCTCGGATGCGGGCTTACCCTGATTGATAGGCCGTTGTGGCCGACTTTTAATGTCGGTTAGCGCAGCTAATCTAGTGTTAGTGTCTCATAATGGAGCCGTTGTCAGGCTGGGAGACACTCGAGAAATCATGGTCCCGATAAACATCAAATAAACACGATAAACACACGATAAGTGGCAGCTGGGACGGGCCGACAATATCTTCAGTTCACTGAATGCCAATGGGTAGGCAGTCTTAGCTCTGGCTCCCACATGAATTAAAATGCATCAATCACTCATGTGCACTTACCTAACTCCAAAAAAAGCTCAACGGTACGCGCAAATTTCGTACAAGAAACAGTTCGCTCAGGGCCTCATTGTAATGTCTTACTTCTGCGCCAAGAACTTGATTGAAACAGCTGTCAGAATCATCTCCAAGGTCCAATGTCCATCCATCAGTGCATCAG